ATTAATATCTATCATATAATTTATTCAATCATATGTCCTTCACTTATGCAATGAAAGATTATATCAATCAATCATTCAAAATAAATTTCTTACTAGTTAAACTCTCAAGTTGTTATATGTCTTCCTGATACTATGGGTTATACACTCATCACATCATTGAAGTAGGTATTGTCGGTGTTATCGATCCTTATGTAATAATCTCCATATGGTTACCACTGACAACTCTATCACGTCCCTAGTCATAGATCTTTCACGATATACTCTCGCTCATGTAGTCCTTTGTCTTTCAATCTGCCTTGACTATCCTACTTTAGAATCAGCTTTCCCTCTAAATCATCTATGGGGATAATTTGATACCTTGTGTTCTTGTTGTCTTTGTTAAAAACATCATCTTATCAGAAGGTACCACTAACACGAATGTCTTCTTCCATAATAAATACATTCATTGTAGCTGTTGTTAGATGTTGTTGATATAGACCCCTCAAACCATTATATCTACTTTCTCATCACTAACATCTTCTCTATCCATGCTTGATTCATCTCTGGTCCTCCTCATGTTCACATCATATTTAGAGCTCATATCATGCATGGATGTCGATATTGCCAAATCAATCTTTATTAGTTTGACTTGCCACTAACTCAAAAAACTCTTGAATTCACAGAGGCACTAAGGATATCTCAATTCCCTATTCAAACAATGAAGAAATTTATAACATTTTAATAGTGGAAATTAAATGTGGAGCATTCCTAACCACTGCAGTAAACTCAGCTTCATAATACATCAATATTTTACATTTTTATTTCAATCTTAAGAAAGAGTTCTACATCTATCGTCTGGCTGAAGGAGGAACAAATCACATTTTGAACAATGTAATGAATTCATCCAAAGTAATCTTTGCATTTACCTTCCCTTGGAGCTTCTCTCATTGTTGTCCTATCCACCTTCTACTAGCCTCTCCTTCAAATAAAAACACTGCTAGTGGCACTTTCCTGTTCTATGGACACTACATGTTGTCAAAGATCTTACCTATCCTCAGAAACCAATATTCTATAGGTTTGGGTCATAAAGCTCCTTTAAGTAGTGGGACATTCAGTTTATGAAATATCTATAAATGTTTGTCCCAATTTTTCTCCTTACTCCTAGATGTCTTACTCTATTTATCATCTATTACCTATGCTAGAACACTAGCCAACTGCATAATATTGTCTAAGGATACTATAGTTGCACTGTGTTTCTCATTTGATATATTTGTTCTAGTATATCCATGTCAATTATCCACTTGTACAATACATTCTGATCTGAATAAGTCATTCATGCAATCAATTATACATGAAAAATAACACACCTTAATCTATCCAATCTACCTGAGTCACAATCAATTCCTATAACTCTGGTTTATAATTCAATTCTTCTAACAACTGCTCTGATACTAATTATTATTTTTGTCACATAATCAAATTTGAAAGAATTAATCTTTTTATATTATAATAATGATCATCAAAGATATCTAATTTATTTTATCAGAAATATAAACTAGCAACTGTAATCATTTTATTGATCAAAATATCAATATTCATGCTCCAAAATTATACCAATAATTAGGAGTTACAAAATCATAACATATTATCTATCTTCTCCTGACCATGAAAGAATAACTAATAAATTAATAGAAAAAATACTTGGAGGACCCTATAAATGATCAATCTCACACTCCTAATTCCCTGTCCACCTAAAATTATTTAAATAACATATAATGAGCTAAAATGTCTAGCAAGTCACTAAATCCTACAACTAAACTCAAAGCACGGTAAAGAAGTTGTACATATGTCGTTAGTCAGTTCATAATAGTAGCAATCAATATGATCTTGAATTTATTTAGAAATAGTAAACACATGTATTAGCAATAAAATTTGTAAAATAATATAACAGTACGGTATGAAAGCATGGTAAAATGGTGTAGTACACAAATAGTAGAATTGATAAATAAGTAAAATAATAAATCATTAAATTAAGAAATTATTATGGAGGTTAAATCAATAAGTAGTAAATAATCCTTCACGTCGTGTGTCATAGCAATAAAGAAATCATGTAAATAAAAAAACCAAAAAACATCTAAGAAAATTAATAGAATCTATAATAGTGCAGTGTAATCAAATCAGTATACACATGAGGGTCAATCATTCTATATCAGTATCCAATCGGTATCTTACACACATACTCAATATCACTTGCTTGGTAAGGGAATCATGTGTTCAATAGCAGTAAATTAGTAAATAGTAAATCAATATTAATAACAGTAATAACATTAGTATCATCGATAACAACATCAATATCCATAAAACTAGTGATAGTAGCAGTAAAATGATACAGTAATAGTAATCAGTAGAATAGTTAAACAGTGTAATAATAAGTGTAGTAATATGCATTCCAGTAATCATGCTAAACAAGTAAGGAGTTCTAGCTTGCGCGTTATTTTTTTAGTAGTCAGTAATCAGTAATCAATAATTGTTAGCTCGATAAACAAAGTCATCATTCATTGTCTGTTTGCATAATGATAACTCCTTATAACTCATAATCAGTAAATCAAGTGAACTAGTTGATGATAAAACCAAATAATAGTATTTTCAAAATAGCTCGTCAGCGCACCATCCTGTACAGGTCAGTCAGTCTTCAACCAACATTAGTAAAAGTAGTTTTTGTTTGTCCTCATGCATGAATCATGTGTTCAATAGCAGTAAATTAGTAAATAGTAAATCAATATTAATAACAGTAATAACATTAGTATCATCGATAACAACATCAATATCCATAAAACTAGTGATAGTAGCAGTAAAATGATACAGTAATAGTAATCAGTAGAATAGTTAAACATTGTAATAATAATAGTGTAGTAAACTAGCAAATGTAATGTTATCACAATATTATAATAGTAATAACAACCAGCTATTATCCAAATACATGCTTGTATTCATTCACAATGCTTGTATTAATATTATGCTCATATTAAAAATACCAAAATCTCTATTCTTGTAAATAGTTAAAACTAAAACCTCTATTCTTGCAAATCATTGAAAATATAAAAAAACATTTGTTTTACTCGGTAAAATCACACAATCAATCAGTCCAAAACAATCAATACTATAACATATAAAAAAATATGGGATAGAAATTCACTAAATCCGAAAAAATGTAATAAATTAAATTTAAAAGGAGTTGGATTGTTAAAATTAAAATATTTATAAACAGAAATAGGAGAAAAATTACCTACAACAATTTGAGCAATTTTTGTATGAACAAATAAGTGGACCGACTACCAGAACGTGAACTTTCTTTTCCTCTCCTCCTATCCCCTTCCTTTTCTTCAGCAATCAGTGCTAGTGGTAGTGAGGATGAGTGGAGAGAAAATAGGTTGTATTAAATATAAAAATAAAAGTGTGTAGCGCCACCACCCAGGATCGCAACACTGCATGTTGAATCTGGAATTACTATACAACATAAGCTTCAATGCTAAAGACGCTATTGTGCTCGAAGGCCAATGTACTAGTGTCCACTAGCTCAACGCCGCAGCATTCTATTTTAAATAGAAATTCAAATTTTCATTTTAAAGTCATGTAAAAAAATCGGGTTATTACTCTAGGGTCCATGATAAACCAGGATAACTAAACTATGAGATTTTGATTGGGTTTGTTATCATTCTCTTCACCATTTGCTTTAAATAAATGATGACAAATTCTCAATCATAAATTAAATTTGATTGCTACTATATATCAAGCACCTAGATTCTAATAACTAACCTTAATCAAAAGTTCTCTCTAGTCATTAAGAGTGGTAATAACTCATATAGGCTTGCGCTTATGGGAAATCATGAACCAATTCATAAGTTCTCATAAAATGAGGACAAAATCTCTATGGAGTGTCTTATCTGCACCATAATAGGGTTAAGGTTGAATTTTTTTTCCTTATAAAAATTTGAACAGAAAACACAAAAGCTGTCTTATTAGGGTTGAGGTTGAATTTTCCAAAGCCCAAACTATAATTTTAATTTTGTTTGAATTTTTTTTTTTTTGGTGCTTTGAATCAAGACTTATTTGAAATGAGCTAATATTTACTAATTTTCATCAGCAACAAACACTTCTAGTATAGCTTCTTAAACTTTTCGAAGCCATCCTACAATTTTTTTAAAAATCACCCGATCCACAAAGCCAAAACTTTCATGGTGTCAGATTGAAATCTAAACAGAGATCAAGCTTATAAAATTTACTATGATTTCATTCTAAGGGTTTGATGTTATTTCTCTTCCATATTTTTCCAATGGGGATAACCATCAAGGTTTTGTACTCTAGAATTGGTGTGATGCCCTGTAATTGATTTGGTGAAACTTCCTGTGATGATATTCCATGAAACCAAAGCTTATCCTTCAATGGAAGTTTTTAGGGCAGGACTTATATGCCATTCATGCATGTATAGAACTAGCGTCTAGATATTTCTTCACAGAGTATTAATTAGACTGCACTAAGATTTCTGTTTCTTTGGAGCAGGTAAGTCATGAAGTATAATGTCCAGGCCACATAACAAAATAAGGCTGCCTGCCACCAATGTACAAGACAGACCTTGAATGCCGAAATCTGATGCACCCCCTGCAGATTTTACCCTACTTACACCCAGAGCCAATACCCTAGCAATCCGGCCTCCACGCCACAGGGGAAATTAATGGGTTCGGACACTGGACGCCGTCCGGAGCCAATGAAAATGCGCCACATCACCCTCTACTTGGTACTAAACTCGGTACTGAAAAGTACCAAGCAGTAGCTCAGTATACTCGGTACTGTAAAGTACCGAGATCAGTATTGTCCGGTGTTGTGAAGTACCGAACGATAAGTTGTGTCCGATGTCCGAATCTAATAATTTCCCACGCCCCCCGGGGCTCCCTCTCTCAGCTTGGTAACTGCATCACTAACACTGACATAAGTAGAATCTCTACTCAAAACCACAAACAGAATTTTGATTATCAAAAATGTGAGCTGCATATAGATGCTCTCTCTTCAACAAGTGTGTAGTTTTTATATTGTTGAAAGACTGTTAAAAAATAATACATCTGAGGATGAATAAACGCCCCTCAGTAAATAGTGCTACAAATGCTACAGGTGCAACAAACATTGCCATATAACTTCGAAACGCCTACAATACAATGAAGAACAAACGCCTACCTAGCAGCTAAAAAAGTTTGATCATATAAAGCACTTTCTAGCATCACAGTTGCTGAGCATATTTTCACTACTGGAAGGGGCTCTGTGACCTTAAAGTCCACTGCCCAGGAATAAGGAGCTGGAGCTTGACTCGAGAATGTGATGGCCAAGCAGCAGCTCATGCTTAGGGCTATCATTGTCTCCCTGCCTCCTAACCGAGCGTTCGTGCTTCGGGCTTGCAGATGGAGAGCCTGTTTCTGGCGTGAGCGGTCCATGATGAGAGTCCTCAAAAGAAAAGCTATTAAAGAGGCTACCATTGGATTTCTCTTGGAAAGAAGACTTGGTGATTGGAACAGGGGTTGAGGGATCACTCTTATCTTCTAGGCTTTGGTTGGTTGAGGTTGGTGTTAATCCACCGCTAAGTCGCTGCTGTTCCTCGATGATCTTCTTCAGATACTTACCTTGGGCTTCTATCCTAAGCTGCAGCTGCCTTTGAACCTGTAAGTGAGTTAATGTGGATAGCTTGCCATCAAAGCTCAGGAAAAGATCAACAAAATTCATCTTTAAGTTCAGACAGAAGAAGCTTAAAAGCACATTTTAAGATTAGATCTTAATTTGCGCCAGAATGATTAGGCCGTCTCCATTTCGATCCATGGGTTGCAAATTTGAATCATGGGAAATAATTCCTAAGAGTACAAGGTTAAGTTTGTAGGTCAACCCTACATCAAGCCCATAATTGATTAGAGCTGGGCATGCCCTTATAGCAATTATTGTATGAATCCAAGTGATGCAAGAAAAATGAAATATATATATATATATATATATATAAAATTACAAAATAAATAATAATAAAAAAGAGATGCCAGAAAAATGATTGAAGAGTAGTAATACAGTAGAAAATGTAGTTCACCATTGCAAATGACTTCCGAAATGCTATAGCCAGGAAGGAACAACAAAATTAAAAAAAAAATGTGCATAAAAAAATTAGAAATGGAACTAGAACATGGCAATAGTTAAAATTCTAGAGCTCGGTCTACAAGGGAGGACTGTCATCAGATAAAACCAATGTAAAGGACTGAATAGGGTGATTTTCCATGGCTATTTCTAACTTCTAAGTAAAATTTGATGATAGCTCGGTTTAAAATGGAAAACATCATGCGAAACAAATCCATCCATTAATTAGCCTCAGCAAACTCATGAGTGGCTTTAAAATGAAATGACAGATAATCAACAAAAACTGTGTAATTTCATTATTTCATGCACGTCAATGCACGAGTTTACATAACATGTCAATAGATGATAAGCTAGTCATGAAAAATGGAATATAAGAAGTTGGTTGTGATAAGGCCTCTATTTCTATGCACTGGGCAAGGATTAACTTTATTAAACAGGAAAGACTCCTACTTGTTAGCCAATCCGAATCTTAATAGAAAAATTCAAATCAAATTAATTTACATGGCCAAATCTGATAAATAATGCAAATTAAATGAGCCAGTTACTCATTCTTGTCTTAGTTTACCTATTCGAGTTGAATTTGAATCAAAAAGTATGCTTTCCAGGAGCTAGAGTTTGATGCATATCATGATCCATGTCTTATGTTCCATAACATCAAAGTAAGATCAAGTACGTCAAAATAAAATAAGAACAATAAATTATCTCCTACTCTCAAATTAACATTTTATAAGTCCACTTGCACCTTTATTTGACATCTGTAGCAAAGAAGATGAGAAATTTTTGCAATTAGGCCCAATACCATTAGAAGATCCACTATCTAATATGTAATTAAATTGACGTTGTACCAAATCCTTTGACATGATTGCTTCTTGTAAGCACGAATCTCATCTTCCATCTTCTCAAGCACTTTGGCATAAGTAACAATATTCTTGTGAGAGACAAAAAGATGTTCTTCCATTCTCCTCATACCACCTTTAATAACTTTATTATAGTAGTTACACCTCAAATAGATATATATCTTTTCACTCCCTCCAAGTTGCACTCACACATTACGTTTTCATGCAGGATCTCTTTTATCTCTCATTAAGCTTCTCACGTGACCTCTAACAACTTTAGAAAACCCTAAATTTAAATTTTTAATTCAAAAAAAGTATTACAAAGTATAAATATTCAAAGAAAAATTAAACTCTAAACAAAGAAAAGTGAGAAATTTAAAATCTAGGGAGCAAAAAACAAAAAAGCTATTGTAACTAGCAAAATAAGGGAAATGTGGAGGACAACTTGGCAAAGTAGCTGCAACGATGATGGCATAACAATAGTGGTTGAGCAACGGCATATGGATGAGAAGCAGGCATAGTCAAGTGAAAGTGTGCATGCGAGATCGCAGGTAGTCAATGGAGAGGAACCGAGGGGTTTACTTTTAGATGGGGTGAAAGAAAAAAATGAGGCTTTAAGAATATATTTTATTTATAAATGTACTTGTCAAAATCACCCTAAACACTAAGGTTTCGTTTGGGATGACTTTCTTATTTCTTCACAAAGCAGCTTTTTAGTATAAAAATCTATTTTTTTGTGCTAGAAAACTACTTCAAGAAGCAGTAAGAAAGCCATCCCAAACGAAGCCTAAGATTTGAGGCATATACCTCTTGTTTATTACATAGAGATGCCTCAACCATGTCAAGGCATACGCCCACCATAGCCGTCATGGGGCATGTGCAAGCTTTAAGACGGTGTGTTGTGCAATTTTAAAAATAAAACAGCCTTTTACTCCATCTTTTTAGAATACACACTTAGTACAGAGCTTTTTGGATTACAGAATATGAATAAGTGCCCATAAAGGAGCACTTTCCATGATCAAACGGAACAAAAGCATGACACAAAATGAGACACAATTGTTTGTATCCTGATGCACTAGCATTGCTTTGCTCAGGAGTAAAGATTTGGCGTCAGGCTTGGAAATGATGAAAAATGTTTGATCACGAGATAAAACATTAGATCTCAGTGAAGCTTGCCTTACCTCTAATTGCTCGTGTAGACGCTTTTGCACCTCCATCTGCAACTTTAGTGCTTCAGTTATTTGCATCCCTCTGATAACAAAAAGAAAGAGATGAAATCGCGATCACACAGTTAGATACGTACATTAAAACTAATTTGTTTACATATGAGTGAGAAAGAAAAAAACTTGAAACATATAAAAAAGCATCACTGTAGGATGTACACTTCTATGATAATAAAAAATGTGACCGTTTCTAACATAAGTTTGCAATTTCTAGTTTTAACAGGCGTTTATTCTTCATGCCTCAATACTTGGAGTGAGAGAACTTTTAAACCTTCAACAATACCATGGAAGCATAATGTACCTTGAATGCATCAACTTGCAATGATTTTGAATGAGAAGCAGCAGTAGATTGCAGAAAAACATAAGAGATTTTAGGGTAAATGAGAGGTTAACTGGATGAAGTTTCCATAAGGTATGCAAGCCGGTTTTTCCTGCAGTCTGAGCCAGTGTAATCAAGGAGCTTATACTTTGAGTAAGCAAAGCGAGTTCAGCTTGGCGACCGTAAAAATAGGAAGGCCACAAAATGCAAATGCTCCAAGAGTTTGACCAATAAATGCCTTGTTTATGAAGCCGTAATAAAGATAAATATGCAACTGCTATGGTGGGATTTAAAGCATCATTTTATGTTTTCACTCGTTAGACACCATATTGAATTGAGAAGCTCATTCTATCGCATTGCAGTAAAGATATAGTGCAGTTCAAGGTGTGCTTCGGAGATCAACATTCAGATACTCAAACAATCAATTTTTGCAAATCTTTAATTACTGATACTTATTTCCTGGTTAAAATCAAGGGAGCTACTATTCATGATGTAAGGAGGAAAAATCAAGGGAGAGTTGTTTGGGAAGATTTTCTAATTGTGTTTATGCTATATAGGAAGGTTTCCTAATTGTATTTATATCGTTTAGGAAGGTTTTAATGTTTAAGAAGGTTTTCTTATTGTGTTTATGTTGTTTAGAAAGGTTCCAATTATGTTTATTGTGTGTGAGGGCTATTTAAGGGAGAGTTTTGTTTAGGGTTAGGATCTTTTGTTTGCTGAATTTTATTTCTAAGGTTTGTCCAAGGTCCTAGCAATAGCTAGGGTCTATGGGAGAGCTGATCTACCTTTCGAATAGAAGATCTATTGTATCTTGCACTATTATTGAAGGAGAAATAAAAAACAAGCCCATATCTTTGTGTTCGTGTATTTTTTCTTCTAATCTACTTCTTGTTTTACTTCCAAGATACATCAAATTGATATCATATCAATGTTTTGGAGAGATGGCAGGAAAGAAGGTGGATGAGTTGGAAGACGAAGTGGAGAGGAGTTCTCAACCACCAAAGGAAAGTTTTCAACCATAGAAAATTGGATGAAGAGTTGATTTGGAGGGTTGGAGGAGATGATGAAGAAGCTCATGGAAATGCAATAAAAAACTCCACCGGCAATTCTGATTGCTAACCCTAACCAAGATTTGATCGGGATTCCCTTGGTCGAATTAAGGAAAAGGAGGTCAGACCGGAGGAGTTCGACGAGGAGAGTTTCTTTCATAGAGAGCCACCTCCTAGAGCTTCAATAAGAGAGGGATCAGGGTTCCCAGAAGGGGGAACAGAAAGAACATAATTTTCTGGTGATGGTGGTAGGGTGGCCGACCACTATGGGAGGCATTTCGGGCAAGGGGAATGGGCCACCAAAGATGGGGGGGTCGAGCCGAGTGGTGGGGATCAAGTCATGCAAGGAGGAGGTAAGAAAGGTGGGATTTCCACCCTTGAAACATGGTTGGGGGGAGTTTGAGTGGAGATGCTAGGGTGAGGAAGTTAAAGATGTCGATATTTGAAGAGGATGCCCATGGACGGATGTACTAGATGGAGAGGTATTTCGCAGTTAATTGGTTGAATGAAAAGGATAAGCTTATGACTGTATGGGCTATGTCTGGAGGGGAAAGCCCTAGTTTGATTCCAGTGGAGGGAGGCCAGATATCTAATCCAATATTGGGAGGAATTTAAAAATTACTTATTGGAACGTTTCCAAGTCACTTGGGATGAAGACCTACAAGAGCAATTCTTTGCCTTGACTTAGAAGGGACTGTCATGGAGTATAGGGAGAGATTTGAGTTGCTATCAAGGCAGTTGAGGAGAATTTCGAAGGCAAAGATGGAGAAAAATTTCATGAAGGGTCTGAAGCTGGACATATGGGAAGACCTACGATTGTTGAGACCAAGGGACTGAGATAAATGATGGAGCTAGCCCAAATAATGGAGGACTGGAGACAGATGGAGAAGACCAGCAGAAGCAAAGTCACAGAAGGCTCTTACAGGAGTAACTCGACTCCACTAGCACTGAGGACCCAGACAGTATCTTTTCTGCGGGAGGCACTAAGGGAGAAGAGTGTGGTAGTTCGCCCCGAAGCCCACTTAAGCACCTCATAGAGGCAAAGTTGTAGAAAAAAAAGAGTGAACAATTTGTACTTCCACTGTGATTAGAAGCATGCACCTGACGACCATCGGTGCAAAGACCGCACACTCCAAGGTTGTGATGATGAAACCGAAAACGAGGAGTTTGGTGAGGAATCACAAGAGGTAGGAGAACACCTACATATTGATGTGGTTGAACTGTTCCTAAATTCAGTGGTGGGATTTACTCCAAATCACACCACTATGAAGGTGAGGGGATGGATCAGGGAGTGGCCAGAGATGATTTTGGTGGATAGCAGTTCTACTCACAACTTCAACTCAAATTAGGTCATCGACTAGTAAGGTTTAGAGTTGGCGGATACGGGGAACTTTGGAGTAATGATGGGAACATGGAAGGTGGAGAGGACAGAGGTAAAAGCCGCGTATTTTTTTTGTTTCCCGCCCATTTCAAATACATTACCACGGGGTAACCCAATATATTTAAAAAAAGGAGGTAAAAGCGTATGGGCTAACGTCGGGTCAATAGGGTAAAGTAGAATGCAAGGTGTCGCATTAACACGGCATACCGAACGTAAAGATACGTCAGGTGGGAGGAGGCAATAAAAATTCTTAGAGTTGGCGGATACGGGGAACTTTGGAGTAATGATGGGAACATGGAAGGTGGAGAGGACTAGAAGGATTTGTAGGAGATTGGTGCTGACACCCAAGGACATACAAATAGTAGAGGATTTCTTCCCTTAGATTTGGGGAGCCGTGATGTGATTATAGGGATGAAGTGGTTATGAACATAGAGGAAATGAAGGTGGACTGGAAATCTTTGACTATGGAGATTCAGGTTGAAGAGAAGAGGGTGGTGCTGTGAGGAGATGCTAGATTGTGCAGAACTAGATTTTCAATCAAAACTATGGTCAAGGTGAAATAAGGAGCAAGGCCCTACTGGGTTACTTGGTGGAGCTACAGAGCCTAGAGGAGGTCAGAGATTCAGAGCCAGCCAAGACCCCTGAGTATGTACAATAGCTCCCGCGTCAGTCCTGATATTGTTTAGCAACCTGACAGATTACTGCCACCCAAGACCATGAGCATGCCATTACCTTGAAGGATGGGGTTTCATCTATCAATGTCTGATTGTACCGATACATGCAGATTCATATGGATGAGATAGAGAGGCTCATCAAGGAGATGATGGAGGCAGGAATATCAAACCCAATGTGAGCCCTTTTTCCATCCCAGTTTTGTTGGTTAAAAAAAAAATGGCAATTTGAGATTTTGCTTGAATAATAGGGCCTTAAAAAAAAATGATGCTGGACAAATTTCCAATCCACGTGACTAATGAGCTATTTAAGACGATCATCATCTCAAAGGTTAACCTGAAGTCAGGATACTAATAGATTAGAAAGAAATCGAGGGATATGCATAGGATAGCTTTCAGGACCTATGAGGATCACTACTAGTTTTTTGTATGCCGCCAACGCTCCAGGCATTTTCTCAGTCCCTTATGAACCAGGTTTCTCAACCCCACCTCAGGAAATTCATATTGGTATTTTTTGCTGACATCCTGATTTACAATCGTATGGAGGCAGAGCATGTGGGTCACCAGAGGACTATACTGGAGACTTCAAGGGAGTACAAGCTGCATGCCAATTTGAAGAAATATTTCTTTACACAATGTTTGAAATTGCGCAATTAGGTATTGAGGCATTTTTTGTTCATGAGGAGAGGCGTAAGCCTCAAGGCGTTTTGAAGCGTAGGCCTCAAAATCAAAAAAATGCTTAAAGTGATAATAAATGTCAAAAGTGATTTTTTTTATAATACCTAAATAATATATTAAATGATGACATATTAACTTACTATTGAATTATAAATTAACAAATTGACATACATATGAAACAAAAAATTGCATAAGATCTAAAGTGACAAGAAATAAATTGCATGAAATAAAACTAAAATTTTATAAAAGCAAAACAATATTAATTAAATATAGAATTGCATAAAAGTGTCATATAACATCAAGTTCAACTCTAAATTTTCTTTTTTCTCAATTCTCTAATCATTTACATTTAATTCTTAATGAAAGCTGAAATAGATGACAATAACTTAGGAATTATCTACACTGTAATCACTGAGATGGTCTTTATCTGAGTTATTGCATAACAATTTGGTCTATCCCCTGCCTCATTCGGTAGAGTCGAATGCCTCCCAATATGTTTTTTTTTTAATTTATTTAAATCATATTCATCTTTTAGAAATATTCGAAATGTAAAGGCTTTACACATCGACAAATGAAGTGCCTAGGACATGTGGTAAGCAAATAAGGGGTAGCAGCAGACCAATCCAAGATCAAGGCTATACTGGATTGGCCTTTGACTAAGAACTTGAAGGAATTGAGGGGGTTCTTGGGTCTCATAGGATACTACCGGAAGTTTGTATGGGGCTATGACACGATAGCATGGCTATTAACGAAGCAGTTGAAGAAGGACAATTTCAATTGGGGATAAGCAGCAACGCAGGCGGAGGTAGTCAACAGATGTGTGGAGACCAAGAGGATTACTACAACCTAAGCTCTACCAGAGAGGGTGTGGAAGGTGATGATGAACTTCATCTAGGGGTTACCACATTTGAAGTGATGTTTTGTGATACTGGTAGTAGTGGATCGTTTGAGCAAATATGCACACTTATCTCTCTGAAGAACCCTTATACTGCAATCTTTGTGGCTATTTCTTTCATATGAGAGGTGGTGTGCTTGCATGAATTTTCATAATCTATTATGTTAGAAACAAGGTGTTTCTTAACCATTTATGGAATGAGTTGTTCCATTTACAAGGTACAATCCTAAAGAGAAGCACGATATATCATCCCTAGATAGACGGCCAAACAAAGGTAGTAAATAGAAGCGTGGAGACCTACTTGTGATGTTTTGTATCGGATACTCCAAAGAGTTGGGCAAATTGAATTGCTTGAGCCGAGTATTGGTATAACACTTCATACCATTCAGTAGCAGAGACTACCTCTTTCAAGATTCTCTATGGTAGAGATTCATCTCATTTGATACATTATGGGCATAGTACTACACCGGTATCAAGTGTAGATTATTACTGAGAGGAGAGGGATAGGATATTGGCATAACTCAAGGGACATCTATTGAGGGCCCAATAGATCATGAAGAAGAAGGTTGATGAGTACAAAAGAGAAGTACACTTTGAGCCAGGAGGCATGGTTTACTTGACGCTGAGACCCTACCAACAGGACAAGCCAGGAGGAGGAATGAGAAATTGTCCCCACGATACTTTGGGCCTTATGAGGTTTCGGAGTGCATTAAAGCAGTGGCCTATCAACTAGGATTACCATCTTCATTAGCTTTACACCCAATATTTCATGTCTCACAGCTGAGGCAGGCAATAAGAGATCACACACCGTCTTCACTACTTTTGACTTTGATAGAAGGCATGGAGGTTATTTTAGAACTCTTGCGAGTAGAAGGGGTGCACCAAAGGAAAGTAGGAGCAAGAGAGGAACTAATCAAGTAAAAGGAATTGTCGGAGTACGAAGCCACACGGGAGCCATACGAGATGATTATGAAACAGTTCCTATACTTCTATCTTGAGGACAACATTTTTTTTTTTTTTTTTTTTTTTTTTGGGGTGGGGGGGGGATACAACATGCGAATTGAGAATCACGGGTATTGATACGACAAGAGGGGGCCCCTTATGGGACTCAAGAGAGTTATTATTCATTATCTAAGGAGGAGGAATCAAGGGGGAACTTTTTAGGAAAGTTTCCTAATTGTGTTTATGCAGTTTAAGAAAGTTTAATTATTTATGAATGTTTCCTAATTGTGTTTATGCATTTTAAGAAAGTTTTAATTATTTAGGAAGATTTCCTAATTGTGTTTATGATGTTTAGGAAGATTTTCTATTTGTTTTTATGCCGTTTAGGAAGATTCCGATTGTGTTTATTGTGTGTGAGAGCTATTTAAGGAGCTTTGTCTAGGGTTATGATTTTTTGTTTGCTGAATTTTATTTCTAGGGCTTGTGAGAGAGCTAATCTACCTCTTAAATAGTAGATCAATTGTATCTTACATTAATATTGAAGGAGAAATAAAAAATCCGCCCCTATCTTTGTCTTCCAGCATTTTTTCTTCTCATCTACTTGTTGTTTTTACTTTCAAGACGCAAAAGATACTTGATAATATTAGGAATCATGCATTTAAGGAGTAGTGCTAGTTGGCAGAGGTAGAGAGATCTCATGTTAAGGGAAGATAGTTAAAGCATATGAAATTACTAGGTTTATTCTTACATCACATGATAGGAAAATATATTGGCATAGAAATACCAAGTGATTACCCTTCTCAAATAGGCCGAAGCTTTTAGGTTGAAATTGTATTTGACCATTGATATACCATACCCAAGTTTGATCTTCGTTTAGTTCATACTCAATAACAAGATGTGGCAACTTAAATCCACGATTATAACGGGTTAGTATTATATTGACACAAATCAAGTTTGTAATCATAACATTTTGTTATATGAAACGCATACGGACTTCTCAAACACCAAGTTAATGACACAGCTATAATCAAAGCGGTATTGATATGCCAAGGATGGGGACTGTTGTGGGGCCCAAGGGAGTTATTATTCATTATCTAAGGAGGATGAATCAATGGAGGAGATTTTTAGGAAGGTTTCCTAATTGTGTTTATGCAGTTTAAGAAAGTTTTAATTATTTAGGAAGGTTTTCTAATTGCGTTTATGCTGTTTATGAAGGTTCCAATTGTGTTTATTGTATGCGAGGGCTATTTAAGGAGCTTTGTCTAGGGTTAAGATTTTTTGTTAGCTGAATTTTATTTCTAGGGTTTGTGGGAGAGCTGATCTATCTCTTGAATAGTAGATCAATTGTATCTTACATTATTATTGAAGGAAAAATTAAAAATCAGCCCCCATATTTGTGTTCCTACATTTTTTCTGCTCATCTACTTGTTCTTTTTACTTCCAAGACGCATCAGATACTTGATAATATTAGGAATCATGCATTTAAGGAGTAGTGCTAGTTGGTTGATGTGGAGAGCTCTCATGTTAAGAGAAGATAGTTAAAGCATGTGACAATACTAGATTTATTCTTGCATCAGATGATAGGAAAATATTTTGGCATAGAAATACCGAGTGATCACCCTTCTCCCTTAGGCTGAAGCTTTTAGGTTGGAATTGTATTTGACCATTGATATATCATACCCAAGTATGATCTTCCTTTAGTTCATGCTCCATAACAAGATGTGGCAACTTAAATCCAGGATTGTAAAGGGGTTAGTATTATATGGACTCAAATCAAGTTTGTAATCATAACATTTTGTTACATGAAATGCATAAACGGTCTTCTCAAACAGCAGGTTAATACCGCAGCTATAATCAATGAAAAGAAGTTTGATTTTTCCTTTTTCCATAGAAGACAAAGCTTCGCAGCTCCGGTAAAACACACAAATTCAAAGAGAAAGAACATGAAATGATCCTTCACATGGAACGCGCCCTACAAACCTTGGATAGACTGCCAAGTGCTACTACAGGTGCAGAACATTTTAATTAAAAACTTCTCATTTGGTTATTTATTTCCTATCGCTGTTGGTGGGCCAGAAATATAGAGAACCATATGTGAAATAAAAATTTCATAAGCATAACAAAAAGACACGGCAATTCTAAAGCTCGGAATTGGCATAAGAGAGTATCTGCACTCACGTGGAATTTTCAAGGTTGGAAAGAACATCATCGGATTCCTTCTTTTCAACTTTAGCACCTAAACAAATAGGAAAAGATTTAGGTTGGAAGGGAACCTATAATTAAAAAACCTTTCAGTATGAAAATTGAATATAGTAAATCTGCAAAATATAGATAGTTTTACACAAACAAAGTGTATGGCTCTACCTTCAGCTGAAGAGTCTGGAAGGTACTTAGCAAGACGGTACTTCTGCATGAATCAAATTAATGGTGTTAGCCACAACTACGAGAAACAAAAAAGCATAGTCAAAAATAGCATATATGTTTAAAAACCATTTCTATCCTCTAAATACCTGCAAGTGGCTTTTCACGTGGTATATGGTCAGGCCTTGCACACCCATAACCCTAAGGACACCTTTAGGAGTGGCTCCTGCAAAATAAAAGAGGATTCTAAGGAATTGCTACATTTATTGGTTGAAAGATATCCAATAAAATAGTTAAAAGCAATAACTTTGAAAATTGAAGAGAGGATATATCCTATCTAAGGGTGCTATATTCTATCATGTTTATAGAATAAATAACAATTTCGTCTTGACTTAAATAAGATACTGTATTTCAGTGTCTAGCAAGTTAGGCATAATGATGGCATTTATGCCAGGCTAAGCCAAAGATTCTTCATACAAAATAGAACTAACAACAAAATTAAATTGGGAATGAATGACAAGTTTGAAATAAAGAACACTCACTATCTGGTCCTCCTAGTTGAGCAACAGCATCCACAAATCGCTCATGAAGTTCATTTGTCCAGCGCAATCTCTGCCTAGCGGTTGAACCAGGATTATTTAGGTTATTTCCTCCAGCATGTGGGGATGCAACACTGCTATTCATTTCTATATGCTGATCATGAGCTATTGAAAAGCAGCTTGCTAGGCTTACATTAGAAAGAGAACGTTGATACATCTGTCATCCTATATGAAATCAATGAAGTGAAATAGTTAGGCAGCACATTTGGGTGCATATAGCAGGTATAAAATGTCAATAGTATGGGAATCAAATTTTAAAATTAATACATCAAGTCTAATCAAAAGAGAAAGTTGTACAAGGTTGACCTAGATAGCATAACGCTACACTTTCTTCGTGTCTCGGCTCTCAACACTATGACACTGCAATCAGCCAAAGTGCAGTATGTCCCAGTTATTACAATATCGGTGAGAAAATAAACATTTTTATGTTAAATTACAAAAAGAAATGGATTTCATATAGAGCTGATGTTTTCTTCTTTTTGTACGCATAGAAATAGTGAGATTAAAACATTTTTGGCTGCTATATATAACGGTGTTTAAGTGAGATTGCACGCCATGCATGAGTTGGGAAGAAACTGACAAATAACAAGGGTTTTGATGAGGCTGGAAGCAGCCCAGCTGCCCAGGGGGGCCCAAAACCTCCTTTATCACCTATAGGAGAAGAGGTTTTGGCAGAAACTCTTTGAGAAATATGTAAGGGGCATTTATTAAAGGATTTGGGCTGTTTAAAGGGAGAGATTATAGATTTTATGTTATGTTTTGAATTTCTACAGTAGTTTTTGTGAGGTATTTGGGTTCCAAGTATCTGCTAGGAATTGTGGGAGAGACGATTCACCTCTCGAACAATGAATCAATTTGTATTTTGTCTTACTTTGCTTGGAAATTAGTAAAAATAGCTCTCTTTGTGTTATTTCTGGATCTGTTTGGAGTAAGTTGTTATTTTTTATATTGTTGTGTGTTGTTTTGATTATCAAAGTCCTATCAAATTGGTATCAAATTAAGATTTATGGCATTGAAGAAAGTTGATACTTTTGAAGAGAAACTAGAAGGAGAAGTTGGTCAATTCAAATCTGAAGTTGAGGAAAGGATTTCATCTTTTCTAACCTAGAGGAAATGATGAAGAAAATATTGGAGCTTCACACCTAACTGTCAACATCGGAGGCGAGGGCACCGATGGGTGGCCAAGGAAGAGGGGGAAACCCTAATATCGACCAATGAGGGATGATCGACAGGTAGGAACCATGGGCAACAGAAAAATATGACACCTCTTGAACCAATGATTAGGAGGGAAATGGGTGAGAAGGGTATAACATGAGGAGAAATTGGGAAGAAGAAATAAGGACTCGTTTTGAGGAAGATGATATCTATGAAATGAGAGATGGGAGAGAATAATGGAAAGATCACAACAATCGCTATATGGAGGAGCTGGAGGTGGAAGAGGAAGTTGGGGCAGAGGGGATCCGAGAGTGAGAAAACTGAAAATGGTTGTTTTTTAGGGGGAATATCCTCACTGGTGGATCTATAAAGTGAAGAGATACATTGAGGTGAATGGAATGACAGAGTAGGAGAGACTCACGTCAGCAGCTTTATGCTTGGAGGGAAAAGCCTTGTCTTGGTATCAGTGGAGAGACATGAGAGAACCAATACGATCGTGGAAGAAATTCATAGATAGTTTATTAGAACATTTTCAAACTAGCCGGGAAGTAGAATTCTACCACAATTCTTTAAGCTGGTTCACGAAGGGATAGTGATGGATTATCGAGAGATGTTTGAATACCCTTCTAGCCGATTGGGGAGGCTTACTGAGACAGTGTTGGAGGAGAATTTCATGAAGGGAATCAAGCCAGAGATCAGGGCTGTTGTCCGGTTATTGAGGCCACGAGGGTTGATGGAGGCTATGGAGCTAGCCCAGTTGGTGGATGACAAAAACTCACTTGAGAGAAACATCAAACATAGTAGTTTGGGAGGTTCATACTGAATAACGACTACTTTTTTTGCACCAAAGGTACAACCTTTGCCCATTCAGAGAGAAGTACCCAAATATAGGGTATTGGGAGCACGACTAGGGTGAAATTTCAAGCAGCTGACTAAGGAAAAAGTTTAATAAAAGCGGGCCATGAGCTTATTTTTCCGTTGTAATGAGAAGTTTGCACCGAACCACTGTTACAAGAACCATTCGCTGCAAGTACTTATAATCAATGATAAGGAGGAGACTCTAGAGGAAGAGGTGGTTGAAGAGGAGGAGCATTTGTACTCAAATGTGGCAGAGGTCTCCCTAAACTCAATGGTGGTGCTTACCTCAAATCACACCATGAAGGTGAGGGGATAGATAGGAGGAGAATGAGTGGTAGTTCTGGTGGATAGTGGGGTGACCCACAAATTGATCTCAAACTAGGTGGTGAACCGATTAGTGCTGAAGCTAGTCGACACAGGTTATTTTTGGGTGATGTGGGAACAAGGAAGATGGAGAAAAGTAGAGGCATCTACCCATGATAGATTGTGGCACTGCAGGAGATACAAATGAAGGAGGATTTTCTTCCCTTGGAGTTAGGGCGCACATATGTAATTTTGGGAATGAAGTGGTTGCAGCCATTAGGGTAAACCAATGTGGACTAGAAAGCATTGACTATAGAATTCATGATGAGAGGGAGGAAGGTGAATATCAGGGGAGATCCTGGTCAGTCTAAAACCAAGATTTCTCTTAAGACCATAGTGAGGGCAATCCAGGGAGCAGGGATGAGATTCTAGGAGGAGCTCCAAAGCCTCGAGGTAGGTAGAAGCATGGAGAAAGAGTGCAACAACAACAGCACAACAACATCAAGCCTTTATCCCACTACGTGGGGTGAGCTACATGAATCCTTTTTCTCCATTGTGTCCTATTAAAAGTCAAATTCTCGTTTAAATCTAATAAAGACAGGTCATTCCTAATATTTGCGAGATTCCAAAAATAATCCAGCCACTTCAACAATTCAGTGAGGTGTTCCAACTGCCTCAAGGCCTACCTCCCCCAAGAGAGCATGAGCAAGCCATCATCCTGAAGGATGCGGTATCCCCTTTCAGTGCTTGACCCTATTATTTAAGTCATGGTTTAAAATTGCGCAATATTAGGTTCGCCTTGAGGCCCGCCTTTGCGTAATTCCAGTAAAAAAACGCCTCGAGTTTTTTTATGAGGCTTGCGCCTCAACTTGGTTAAGGCCCGCCTCGCCTCACTGGCTTGAGGCTTACGCCTCACGCTATATATGTTAAAACTTACATAAATCTTGAAGTAAATGCCCGACATTGGACTCTATAAGAGAGGAGGAAGGGGAGAGAGCAGTTCACCATAATGATGATTCAAATGAAGAACCCCTTGGTGATGACAGTGCTGATGACTTATGAGTTCTTATGTGATATGTCATTGCTATTTATTTTTGGAAATTGGAATTATATGTTGATGAAAAGAATACTGGGATTTGGAAAAGATAGAATTTTGAGTTGAACTATATTTCAAGTTGTCTTATTATTGAGATATTTTTTCATGTTGTTTTATTATTGGGATATTTTGATTTCACTTCATATCTTATGTTTTTTTATGTTTTATATTATTCACTCAGTAGTATATAAAAAATTTATCATTTTATGTTTACACAATCTTTTGATTTTGAGGCTTACGCCTCAAAATGCCTTGAGGCTTACACCTCGCCTCACGAACGAAAAACGCCTCAATACCCGAATACGCAATTTTAAACATTGATTTAAGCTACCATGGCAAATGTCGAGAGCTTATTCAGTCAGTTATAGAGGATTGAAAACATAGAAATAGTCTTGATTCACATTTTGATAATGTTTATAGTGATATTACCTAAGTATTTACATTTAATGATGAACAAAATTCCAATGCTTTATTAGACAATTTAGCTAGTTTTGATAACATCGTAACTACCACATAATTACTGAAAAACATTTAAGATTTGCTTATAATAAATTTGTACATTCTGCTCAAATATTTTGGAAAAGAATACAAACTACTACAATATTCAAACAAAAATATTTGACATTATAATATTATGACAATCAATTTAACAACTTATGAGGATCTATTTTGGATAGTTTTCTCACTACTTCGCTTTTCAGACCGCTATCATAAATCTTTTTTTTCTTTTAATTAAAGTCATACATCTATTTGGCTACTAGTTTCATGTTGATTTCAAAAATTTTTGTGGTGGGAAGTTGCTTTTAAGAATTAGTTAAACTAGTGTGGTAGCTATAGGAAGGCTAATGTCTATCTTCTAAAAATTTTTAACTTTACAAAAAATTGCTTACTTCACAATAACTCTATAATCACTTTTATAAAAAGCTACATCGCCCCAAGCATATCCTAAAGTTTAGAAGAAAAACCTTGAAGTGTGAAAGAATTTTGTGAAAGGTTTGGAGAGTTATATGAAAAATGATTTTTGGTTGAAAATTCAATGTATTAATCCATAAAGATTCATTAAAAGTCTTAAGAAAACTATAAAGGAAAAAATAGTTTTTTCTTATTATGAGACAGTAAATGAGGTTTACTCTATAACAATAAAAACTGAAGTACACCTTCATTATACTCATGCTAACGAGTGTAACGTACAAAAAGTTGAAAAATCATAACAAACAATACCTAAAACATTGATTCCAAAGAGAAGAATTCCCTAGCAAAGGAGCAGCCTTTTGTACTGCCATCTTTCCAATCTCTAGTGCGTAAAAATAATAATAAAGAGAAGAAAGAAAAGAAAGTATTGCTTTTTAAAGCATGTAAGTTCATAAATTTAAGATATAAAACCAATTATAGCATTGATCCGGGTCACACTTCCAAGAAATTTGATATTGGAAAATCATCCAACCAAGCCAAATTGGAGGACTAGAAGAGTGTACCAATATTGGGCTAGCATTAGAGTTAGCACCTCAAGCCCAAATGTAAACCCAAAGTTCAAAACAAAATTCAGGACAAAGTTCAAGATATTTCCAAGGAGCACAAAGGTACATATGGAGATGTCATGGAGGAAAATAAAAATAAAGTTGGATAGCTTAATTGCAACTTATAAAATCAAATCATACAACGAGGGGTTGTACAAGCATGTAGAAAACCAAGTTTGAATGGCTTAAACTACCTCCAACCTATTTGGATCGAGAAGGATTGTTGCCTGAATAAAAAAGACCAAATCTTTTCAATAAATTGATTCATCCATCTCTCACTCTCCAATTTTCCTCGACCAAAAATTAAGAGGAAGAGAGTAAGGTCTTAGTGCCATTCAAGGAGAGTAGGAAAAAAAACATATCCTAGAAGGCAATCAAGAAGGAGAGGAGTTCATCAAGAAGCAAGTAAGCATCACAAAGAAAGAGATTCAAGCAAGAACATGAAGCATTCAACTACCTTCAAGGGAAGATTATCATTCCATCAAGGTGAAGCTTCAAGAAATCTAGACTTGCTTATGAATTACAATCTTCTATCCACGAGTGAGTGTCCATAGTCTACCAACTCTACATTATTTTGATTTTCCAAAAATCAAGTAATCAAAGCTTAAAGTATTTTGAGCATCCTATAACCGTATACATGTAGGATTGGAGAGAAAGGTTGTCACATACATGTTCCATCAATCCCGGGTCAAGCATCAAGATGAACTTCAAAAAGTGAAATATGACAGTACTAAAGAACAACATATAAGTCATGGACAGCAAAATAGTAAACAATTCAAATACTACTGAACAGAGTTTGCCGTTCTTTCTATGTACTGCCGACTCAAAACGATGTAAAAAGAAAGCTTCAGTCCCCAAGTTATCAAAAACGAAGAGGATCGAATCCAATAGGGGAAAATGGAAATCCACAAAAGAAGACGGAGCGGATTTCCATAGAACGATACACCAAAGAACAACATATAGACAAATGACGTAATAAATCCTCAGAAACCTGTAGAGATGGGAAAAGTACTTATGGCCCATCGCGTCCTCTAAGCTCACTTCTCATAAAAGTAATAGATTCCAAAAGCACAAAGATCCAAACCCCGCCTCAATCAATTCATACCGTAAATCACCTTATAACACAAGAAAGCCACAAAATTCGAATCAAACATGCAATAAGATAGAGCAAGAGAAATGCTCGGATCAGAAAACCGCAGAATTCCCAATTCATAACTATCAAAGAACGAACTTCACCGATATTTGACTATCAAAAAGAAAACACCTAAGACGTATAAACCTTGGAACAACAAAAAATATCAAACTTTCCAGTAGAAAAATGGAAAAGTTGAAGCACTTACCAAAGAATCTGCCAAATTTCACACGTAGCAGAAATCTGAGAAAGGCTTTCATGGGGCTTTCGTCCACGGAAATAGAAGGCCATGGAGGCCTCTCGCTTTCCGGTCTGGGCTCTCAAGTCTCATCCCGTTGGAAGCTACTTCGTGACGGCCGATAACGGCATCTGCAAAAACTATTCCGTTACGTGACGGCCGTTATGGAACACGCAATTGGAAATCTGGATGTCTAGGGTTTGGCGTTGGGATTCTTTATATCTTTGTGGCCGTCTTTTTGTTTGAGAGTATCGAACCAGTCCTCCTGCCGTCAGCACGTCGATTATAAAAAAGATTTTGGCTTTCTTACTCTTAAAATAAATTTTTAATTAAAAAATTAAAATTTTTATGAAAATCTTATTTTAAGCGGTAAGAAATGTATCTCAAATAAAATATTCATTTGAGAAAATTTTGTTATTATTTTAAAATTTTATTTTTTAGTAAAAAAATATTTTGAACTTGATACTAAGAAACAACTTTAGAATGTAGTAAGAAAATCATCTCAAACGAAACATTCATTTGGACCAAATTAAAAAATTGTAAACATCAAATTAAACATTTGATACATTTAGCACATAATATTTATTTTGATTAAAATTAGTAAGATTTAGGGGTTGTTATGTTTGAAATTAAATGAGTGTAAATTTAATTTTAAAAATGTTTGAAGAAGATTTCTTATTACTGGAGTGTGAAGTGTTCACTTGATACTCAAAGGTAAGGATCTTCATTTGTGAATTGTGATTACTTCACTCTTTTCTCTTGTTCTTCCAGATTTATCATAAGAAGATCTTGTCAAGGAGATCCAGTTCTCTGTCGACACTCGAGGAGTGTGAACAATAGGAAGGTTCTCTGCCTACACTTGGAGAGTGTGAAAGGATGAAAGGTTCTCTGCCTACACTTACAGATTGTGAACAGCGATAGGTTCTCTGCCTATATTTGGAGAAGTGTGAAAGGATGAAGGGTTCTCTACCCACACTTGGAGAGTGTGAAAGAATGAAAGGTTCTCTGCCTACACTTGGAGAGTGTGAATAGCGAGAGGTAATCTGCCTACACCTGGATGGTGTAAAAGGATGACGGTTCTCTGCCGCACCGGATAGTAGTGGAAGAGAGTTTTTGTGATGGCTTCTCCGCCTTGTTGTGGGGGCAAAAGGAGAGACACTAATTGGTAATAGTGTAATACCTGAAGTGGGAGTCTTCAGGGAGTGGATGTAGGTCGTGCTTAACCAAACCACTATAAATCTTATGTCTTTTTATTTTCCACTGCTTATTTACTTTACTTTTCTATGTGATTAATGGTTGAAAAATCTTTTTTAAAAACTTCATGAAAAAGTTTGAATCTCTATAAAATTTTAAGAGGGAAAATTTTTAAATTACCAATTTACCCCTCCCTCTTGGTTAGCCACTGGGACATAAACTTAGGTCTAACAATCTAATTCATAATTAACAAGTGGTATCAGAGCATAGTTTCAAAATCATAAGTTTAGACTATTTTTTGATTAACAACCATGGCTAAATTTGGAAATTTAAACACACCTAAGGGTAACTCTATAACTAGACCTCTATTGTTTGACAATATTCTTTTTTATTTTTGAAAAACACACATGTCTATATTTTTACAGTCACTTGATTACCGTATGTGAATCTTAGTCCAGGAAAGGTATACAAAACCAACTAGATTGGTTGACGGAGTTAGATGTTGAAACTCCCTTTGTGGACTGGACAATAGAAGAATATGACTTAGCACAACTTAACGCTAAATGCCTGAATAGTTTCTTTTATGCTCTTAAATCTAAAGATTACATGCGAGTTTCTACTTACAAAAGTGGAAAGGATATATGGGATAAACTTTGTATAACTTATGAGGGAATTAATGAAATAAACAATATGGACTTAATATCTTATTGCGTGACCATGAACTGTTTTGCATGAAACCCAAAGAATCCATTTCTGACATATTCCCAAGATTCACACAAATAATCATCTCTTTACATGCATTAGGTAGGGAGCTAATGAATACAGAAATGGTTAATAAAATACTTCGTTGCTTACCTACTACTTATGATGTTAAAATAATTACAATTACATAGTTTAAAGATTTAAACATTTACTTTATTGACAATCTTCTTAGATCACTTATTGCTTATGAGCAAGGGGTGAGTCAAAGAAAGATTATTGCAGGTGACCACGAAGGGAGAAGAATATAGCACTAAAAGTGGAGGAGTCAGAGAGTGAATTCTCACAACTTGAGAATGAAGACAACATCGCACTGATGACTAGACAGTTCAGAAACTTTCTAAAGAGGAAGAAAAAGAGACGCCATCAATGGAATCGATGTAAATTTAATAGAAATGTTTTAGTATCCTAATATCTGCCCTCAAACTAATCATCGGAGGAACGGATGGTTAGTTTGCTACGTAGTTCGTTGAAACGAGCTGTGGAGAATGATTTTGTCAGTACGTCCGCGATTTGATCTTTGGTGGGAATATGAACGAGCTGAATGTTGCCGGAGCTGATGTGTTCCCGAATGAAGTGATAGTCGATCTCAATATGCTTTGTGCGGGCATGAAAGACAGGGTTCTTAGCGAGAGCCATAGCCGAGGTGTTGTCGCAATGTATGACTGTAGGCGACGTTTGCGGAAGAAGTAGCTCGGCTGCAAGGCGGCGTAACCAAATCACGTCGGACGTGGTTGCGGAGAGCGATCTGTATTCTGCCTCGGTTGAGGATTTGGCGACCGTCACTTGCTTTTTGACGGACCATGAGACAAGGGTCGGGCCGAGAAAGGTACATGAGCCGGAGATTGATTTCCGATCCGTGGAGTCCGAAGCCCAGTCTGCATCCGTGTAGGAGCGAAGCTCAAGTGATCCACGCTGGATTGGCAGACCGAAGGAGATTGTGCCTTTAATGTATCGGAGGATGCGTTTGAGGTTCTGAAAGTCATGATTGGAAGGTGCCTGCATGTGTTGACATATGGTGTTAGTTGCAAAAGCAATATCGGGTCTAGTAATAGAGAGATATTGAAGTGCGCCGGCAAGGCGTCGGTATAGGGGTGGATCGTGAAACTGTGTGAGATCAGGTTGAGTTTTCTTTGCGGACGGAGACGAAGGTGTTGGTGCAGTCTTGCAATCTTGGAATCCGGCTTCTTGGATTAGTTTTGATGCGTAGTGTTGTTGAGTAAGGAAGTAGCCAGAGGATGTGCAAAGGACTTGTATGCCGAGGAAGAGAGATATTTCGCCCAACTGTTTGAGAGCGAAATGTTGTTGAAGTTGTGAGAAGAGTCGCTGAATTGCTGTGTGATCATTGCCTGTCACCAAAATGTCATCAACGTAGATTAATATAAAGATAGATAAATTTTTACGATGACAGATTAATAAGGAAGGATCAGATCGGCTAAAGACAAATCCCTGTGTTTGGAGAAAAGTTGTAAGTTTATTGAACCATTGGCGCGGGGCCTGTTTAAGTCCATATAGTGACTTGTGCAGTTTGCAAACCCAGTTTGGATGAAGCGGATCAATGAAACCCGGCGGTTGCTGCATGTAGATTTCATCCGGAAGGTCGCCGTGGAGGAAGGCGTTCGAGATATCTAGTTGTAGAACTGGCCATTGCCGATTGACAGCAAGTGTTAGCAGTAACCGGATTGTGGGCATGTTTGCAACAGGACTAAATGTTTCCGTGTAGTTGATGTCGTGCCTTTGATTATATCCAAGTGCTACCAGCCGTGCTTTATATCTAGAAATCTGTCCATCTGGTTGGAGCTTCTTCTTGTATGTCCATTTGCACCCAAGAGTTGGCTTATTTGGTTGAGCCGGTACGAGAGTCCAGGTTCCGAGCTTCTGTAAGGCCGTAAATTCATCCAGCATTGTGTTTTGCCAGTGAGTGTGTTTGGCGGCTTGTTTGTAGGTAAGAGGAGTATCGGGATGAGAAGTATGGGTAAACAAATTGAGAAACTGTTTTGGTTTGGAGATACCCGCTTTGAGACGGGTTAGCATAGGATGAGTTGGCTGAGGTTGGTTGTTCGGTTGCTGCGCGGTATTGGCCGAGGAAACGTGTGAAGGGTGGGGATGAGAAACAGGGGAAGGTTGAGTGTGATTATGAATTGGGAGCGCAGGAGGGTGTGGATTGACTGGTAGAGGAGTTGAGGAGTGTGGTTTTGAAGGAATGGTGATAGCAGAAGTAGGAGTTAGTAGGAATGGGGAGATATGATTGGTCGGGGCAGACAGGGTGTGGGAAACAGACATAGTAGGTGTGCTGAAGGGAAAGGTTGTCTCGTAGAAAACTACGTGACGAGAGATTATAATTTTCCCATTGGCAAGGTTGAGGCATTTATAGCCCTTGTGCTGTGAAGAGTACCCAAGGAGGACACATTCTTGAGATCTTGGTTCAAGTTTGTGTGATGTGTAGGGTCGGAGCCACGGGAAACACAGGCATCCGAAGGTGCGTAAATGAGAGTAGGTGGGAGGTTTACCGTGAAGACGCTGATGTGGGGACTGATAGGAGAGTGCAGTGGAAGGTATGCGGTTAATGAGAAAGTGAGCGGTGGAAATAGCATCTACCCAGTATTTGTGAGGAATGTTGGCAGCGTGAAGAAGGGTGCGAGCAAGCTCGAGAAGGTGCCTGTGCTTGCGTTCGGCGAGACCGTTCTGCTCCGGGGTGTGAGGACAGCTGAACTGATGAGTAATGCCGTTGTCCTGGAGGAATCGGTTGAACTCCTTGCTGTTGTATTCGCCGCCGCCATCTGACCTGAGAATCTTAGGAATTTGATTAAAATGTGTTTTAAGATAATTGCACAGAATTTTGAATTTGGATAGAGATTCTTGCTTGGTATGCATGAAGTAAAGCCAAGAGTAGTGAGTAAAATCATCTATAAACACAATATAAAAACGATAGCCGTCAGTTGAGTTTACTGGAGC